TCTCGCACCCAGTCAACATACACATTCTAGCGCTCAGCGCTCTTTCCACGACCCCGCTCTTATGAGCTCTCGGCCGGAGGCTGACTAAAGGGAACAAATCAAAAGAAAAACACACAGGATCAGAAATGAAAAGAAGCGTACCTCGAAAGACGAGATTGTTGAGTGTCACTTAAACGCATCTGTGCTAGACGAGCTAAGCCGTCGCAAAGGTAAATCCGAGCAACTCTGGAAGATTGCCATCTACCGTAGAGCAAAGTCTTTTCAAGACTGGCTCCCACTTCGAAGTGGTGAGTCGCGCCTCCCCGCCTGAGGCTGTAGCCCCGGAAACCGTGGGATTGGAGTTGAAAATGGTCCAGGAGCTTTGCTAGCGAGGAGCGAAAGAATTGGGGTGACCGATCCCAAATAGGTTTGTGCCAATGGTGCTCTGGAATCAAATCTTTGACAGTTCTGAGAATCATGAGGACACGGTCATCATCCAAGCGGATGAACTCATCCGAGGATTTGGCACTCTTGGTGTCTGTGAGGCGAAGAAGGCCATGTTGGCGCTTGATCAAGAAGTCGTGGGGGCAAACGGAGAGAACCTCGCCCGTGCGTAGGCACCCATGAAAGCCCAAGGCCAAAATGGCCGCCATCCGGAAGTGGTCCTGCGCAATGCAGAAACCCACGAGTCCCCAAAGAACAAGCGGGGGAAATGGCGGAGCCCGTTGCGGGCGCTCTACTTTGCGCCACACTTTAAAGAGTCTCCAACACTCAGGAGTCTGATGCTTGGCTGATGGCATATAGTGGCTCAGGCCGCAGAGGGCATCGGAAACATGGCCCAGCGGCTCGCCATTCTCCCATTGTTGGGTAATCCAGGTGGCCAATTGGTTGTCCAAATCGATCCAGGAGTCGGCTCCTTCAAGTATCCTTTGGATCCTCCTAAGGCCAGCGTAGTACCGGACTCTGGTTCGTTCAGTGAGCGCGGCATCCTCTAAAGAGACGCCCGCACGGCGGCGCTTACGCGCAGCGTGCCAGCGGTGCATCTGAGAATTGCCGGGACCCTTCATCCGTGGGGTTATCGAGAGAGGCCACGTGGAGAAGGATGGGGTAGACTTGAGCCAACAAGAAATGGGCATTAAAGCGACGGACTAGACCCTCCAGTTGTCGGGAAGAGGTACGTCCCTTACAAAGGATGGAAATGGTGACGAACGAATCGGAACAGTGGAACCACCTGAGGTTAAAGTGCTGCCGATCTCGCAAAACCCAGTTTAGGGTGTTGAGTGCTTGCCGCATCTCTAAGGCGTTTATGTGCTCTGTCAGCTGCCACTTATTTTGAAACAGGAACCGCCAGCTCCAGAGAGAGCTCGGCACCGACTGTCGAGTTTGTTGGCGTCCCATTAGGTGACCTGTGACTAGACGGACATCTGCCCCTGTATGATTGGTACGTTGCAAGAACACCTTGTTCAGGTCTCGGACCGAACGACACAAGGGTGAAGAACCTACGGTCTGACCGAAGTTTAGCTGTTGCGTAACCGGCGCTGACGCTGCCCACCCCGTGCAAAAGCCGGGGGCAAGACCCAACCGTTGCACCAGGTGGCAGATGGAGAAGGAACCCCTCTCCCAGCGAAAAGAGCAGGCCAACACTGCAGCAAATGAGAGCATACAGAAGCTATCTCCGATCAAAGATTCCCTAGTATCTTCGAATCCCTGTGCGTCAGTTTTTACGGCAGCGGCATTTGCTCCCCAGCTCAAAGAGGTGTGCTCAAAGCCGAAGCCCATTAAAAGCTCTCTCTCTGCTGCCGTGAGGGTTCTCCACCGACCTCCTTTCCAGAGTATATGTTCGTCCTTATATTGATAAGGTGGGAACCTGTACCGGTCAGCCTCCCACCTTCCTCGCGCTTCTACTGAGCATCGATCCAAGCCTACGGGCCTAGGAGGGGGAACCTTTCGAGGGATTGCTTTTATAAAACAAGGAAAAGGGGGTTGACTGCGCCCGTCTCCCCATTGCCAACCGGGTTCAAGCCACCTGGGTTGAAGTCCGGGAGCATCCATGGTGATCTCTATATACTCGCCCTTGTCCTCGTGTCTCATGCCCTCGAAGCTCTGAGGCTCGAAGCTTGTCCACGTCAGCCTTGGCCGGGATATCGGCAGAACGTCCCGCGGATCGAGTTTCCACGGACGGCATCCTACCAACCTGGAGATTTCTTGCCTTGCTTGTACATCCATGGAACTGACATTCTCATAGATATGGTGAATTTCAACACAAGGGGGGAAAATCTCCTTGACCAGTTGTGCCACTCGCAATGCTTCAAACAGTAGGGAGGATTGTGACCCTTCCAAGTTTGCCCGAAAACAATTGACCGCAGAGAGGTCCACGCATGGAAATCCACACCAAATGTCAATCCGAGTACAGGTAGCATACCTTATGGCTAGGCTTGGAATGGTGGCTTTATCTATCGTCCGGATGTCACCTAGGTTCCTTGCGTGCGGCCAGCGCCGATCCGTGGTGCGGCACGCGGCCTTGTTGATTTCTGAGTAGACGGCTCCCTCAACGGCGATTCCGAGCAGGTCATATGCTCGGAAAGCGCCGCCGATTCCATTGAACAACGAAATCACTAGGATTGGCTCACGTCGAGGTGCATGGACGGGCTCGGCGACGCTGGCTAGAAAGTTGTCTCCTTCCTGCGTCAACTCCGTTGCCACAGCAGAGGCGCCTCCTTTCTGGGACGCATCTGAACATGTGATCATGTCCGCCACTTCTGCCGTGAGGTCTTGTTTGAGAAGAGGCAGGAGGAGTAGGGCATTAAAGAGCTCCCGACGAACTAAAGGGAGGAGGCTCCTACGCCCCCCGGGGCCTTGAAATATACGTCCACACATGGGTAAAAATAGCCATAGCAGGTCTACGAAACGACATCAAGAAAATGATCCTCCCCACAACCGTCTGCAGGTCCTTGAGAGTGAACTCTTGGGTCAAGAGGAACAAGATCAGTTTTGCCGTTTTCAAAACCCGCAGGGGGGAACCCCCCACGAACCTGTTTTTACCGTCAATGTATGCGCCTAATTCCGTTGCCTCCTCTGCTTGTCGTACTCTTTTCTTCTCTGAAGAAATTATACCAACTCTCTCCCAGCCCCTCTCTGCCTTAGAATGCCAGCGTTGCCAAGGTTCTTGCTCGGCCTCCGCCAGTTCGTATTCGTCTCGAAGTTGCGGTGAGGCGAAGTTGTCCAAATAAACCTGCCACCAATCCCTAAAGCCCGGTTTGATCACCCCAGAAAGCCCCACCATCCAGGGTGGTGTCATGACGTTCCGTGTCAACTGATGGTCTCCCGAGAGGTGCGACTGACGCATGATTCGGGAGGACAACTCTTGCATGAGGGACACGCTTGAGTGCCACCCCATGGGCAGCACCGCACAGCAAAGTGCGTAGCGCTTGTTGGGGGTTCTCTTGATTACTGCGCCATCAACCAAAATCCGGAATGATAGGTATTGCTGCCAACAGGTTGGAATCCGAAACAGGTAGAATGCCGAGGACATGTCGGATTGGGAAGTCTCCAGGATCTCTGACCCTGACATCACAATCGAACCCCAGGTGTGGATGTCAGGTAGTGCGTCATGCCCAGCCTCAAGGGGATAGAACAACCTATTCGAACCTATTGCAGGGGGTAAGATTCATGATTGTCCTGAGGATTGCTTTTCCCGAAGCCGTACTGGAGTCCTTCTTAACCCCAAACATTCCATTGTAGAGCTTCCGCCCCCGGTGTTCGAACACCTCGCTCTCCGGTATCCAATCACAGACCCCCCGAGCAACCAACGACTGGGCGATGAGAAACTTTTCGTTTTCCGCAATGTGTAACTTAGCCTCGAACTTGTATCCCTCAAAAAGTTTAGGGTCTCTGAGCAGCCGTCTGGGCGCGCTCAACCAAGAACCACTTCCAGGGGAGAGAAAATCTAGCAAGTTAACACTACCGCCAAAACCTTTGGGGGGTAAGGCAGGTTCCATCTGTTCTAGGGTTAACACTTGCGCCACTTCTACCTCTTCACCGGTGTAGCTGACATGGGTCCTATTCAGCTCTTGCGCGCAATCTTTTTCTAGCCAACGAAGGTCCTGGTGAGGGGCGAGGCTCCGTTCGAGCGTGGACCCCATTTGGTCCATGGCCGCTCGCTGTAACGCGGTAGCCTCACCCGGTGGCAACAACGTCCTGTACCCTGCCAGCAAATTGCAGCCGGCAGCGATGCACAGTTGCCAGTTCTCCACACCTCGCTCTTCGCACCCTGGCTTGTCGAGCGCAACGGGCATCAAAGGCGCCCTGCGCCCAAGCTGTTCAGCCTCAAAGTCTCTGGGAAAAATCCTCGACTGACTCCTCAAATGGTCAACCAAGCCAGCATTGAAACCTGCTGGAATCGGAATGAGCGACCGTGAGGAACGCTTACGGTTCCCGGCGCCCGGCGTCCCACGGCCTCTAGGCCTAGCCACATTCTCAAATCCTCTCCTTCTGCTTGCATCAGCCTGGTCGTGACCCACGCAAGGCCTCTGCCAAGAGAGTTCATATCGTGGGCCACCTCAAGCAACTCCTTCAAGCATCCTCTGCTCAGTTGTCGCTCTTGTTCGGCGGCGGCTCTTGGCTCTGCCGCCAGTCTTTGCTCTGCGACTTGTCCTTTCCTCCTTTGCCTCTGCCTTTCTTCCCTTTTCCTCTTCCTTTGCCTTCTCTGAAGCCATCGTCCTCCTCGAACCACGGCTTTCCACCTCTGCCAGTCTGTTGCCAGCGTCTTGGGGCAATCCCCAACGCACGGTCTGACAGCTTGGCAAACCGCCTCGCCTGGAGCACTATGTTCGTGCTGGACGCCGATGCCGTCTCCAGAGGTCTGATCTCTAGGTGTTTCGCGGCCCTCCAGCTTCCTCCATCGGTCACCGACTGATGTATTGCCATAACTCGGGCCGCCAGCAGGTCGCCAAGGTGATCGAGCTGCCCCGCACGCAACTGGTCTATCGCTTGTAGAAGGCAGTAAATCTCTCTGGCCTCCTTCATCCTTCCTGTCATCTGGGGCTTGACGATGAGGCGCCAGTACTTTGTCGCTGAGACTCCTCCGATGACCGAGCGGGTCTCTTCTGCCTCTCCTTCGTCGAGATTCTGAAGCGATTCTCTCATATGTTGCACGAAGAGCTTCAACACCGACCCGGCCTTCTTCTGGCTCATCCTCTCGAGAGGTGGCGTCACCTTTTCCATTTCCGACCTCTCCTTCTCGTCTTGCGAGGTTTCTCCTGAACCAGTCTCGGAGCTCCCAATCTCCGAGCTCCCACTGTGGTGGCTCTCGTCTGAATCTCCCGGATCGTCTGGGTCGTCCTTCTTCCTCCTCTTTGCCTTCGCTTTGTCTCCAGTCAGCCCCTTCACTTTCTTCAAGCCCAGACCCTTCGCTAAGGTTTGCATCAATGCCATAGCCGTCTTCTTGGGCTTGTTGTTCTTGGAGCTGGACTTCTTCGGCCTGGGTTTGGTCGTTGCCTTTGATACCAGTTCTCCCAAGACACCTCCGGGAAGCTTGTCTCTCTTCTCCTCCTTCTCCTTCTTCGAGCCCTTCGTAGTAGTTTCTTTTGTATCCTCGTCGAGGTCCTTGAGCTCCTTCGTCTTGGCTGGATCCTCGGTCAAGCGACTCTCCTTCTCCGATCTCCTCTTCGGCGACGCCCGTGCAGGTCCGAAGACATCGAACCGCCGACCTCCACCAGCTCCAGCTCCATCGCGGGCCTTGGGGCCGGGCTGATGCCCGAGCCGAGTCTTCAGCCGGGACAGGGCTTCCCGGAGCGCCGGCCTGGAACCCCTTTCGGCCCCCTCGCCATCCTCGGGACGATGAGACGGAGCCTCCAGTCGTTTGGGTAGTCCTGTTCCTCCTCGCGTGAGTCGCCCAACTTGTCGCCCCAGACTCCTCCAAGGGCGTCTCCTTCCTGCTCTCTCTCGTCTTGCTCCTCTCTGCTCCTCTTGGGTTTCCTCAGGGCGCCGCTGCGGCCTGGGAGCTTGAGGGTCCCAGCCGCTGCGGCAATAGCCTCGGGGGAGACCCTTTCTCCTCCAGGTGACTCTTCTCTCCTTCCCTTGCCTTTCCTCCGATCCCACTCGCGACGACGTCTTTTGAAGGCCTTGGCGATGTTGACGTCGATGGACTTGAGCGGGTAGTCGGTGTTGGCAAACTTGTAGAAACTGCAACCGTGGGCGCCCATCTTCTCTATCGCACAGGACTTGGGTCCATCTCTTGAAGTGCAAAGGTGTAGCCTCGCCTTCTTCCTGTTGAACAAAGTCCCCAAAAGTGCTGTGCTTGCATCGTCGTCCGCTCCTAGGCACGCTACCTGCAATATAAGGCCAGAGTCGTCCCGCAACTCGACGGCCTCCACCCAGAAAACTCCTCGGGATGAAGTGAGCCCCTCGACACCTTCTAAGTCCAGCGCTTCGAGAATATCTCCTTCGTCGAACTCCTCCGTTTCGATGGTGTCGGGATGTGAAGCGAGGTCGAACTTCATGGATATCTGCCTCTCTTTGGGCTTGGGCGCCATTCTGTCTCCTCCCCTCCTGTGTCCCCTCCTTGGGGACTCTTTCAAGGTTCGTCTGAAGGCCGCGGGGCGGCCTGGCGTTCGTAGAGTTCACGGCCCAGAGGGTGATGAGTGACCCTGGCTTGGCCGTCGTCCTGCCTCCGTGTATGCTGCTGATGCTTGCTTCCACCTCGGTGCTTCTTTCTCTTCTCGTGATGCTCCTCCTCAAACCTTTCGTCCTCAACTCTCTCAACCCTTTCTCGATGACGATGTCCAGGTGGCGGTCGAGGTGGAGTCTTAGGCCTGGGCCTGACGGGAGATCTCGGGCGTTTGCCCTTGGATTTGGCGGCCGTAGTTGGCTCTGCCGATCGGCGACTCGGCGGTTCGCAGTCCTCCACCTCGTACTCCTCTACCTCGCTCACCTCGTCGGGTGCTGGTGCCCTCCGGGAAGGCGCAGGAGCGTCCGCTCCGAGGCGGTTGCCAGCGAACCGCAAGGCTCGCACGGCACGCGCCGCGGCCACGCACGTGTCCTCCGCGATCACGCGGATCGCGGCGCTCGACCACCCGCGCTTGAGATCCGCGACGATCGATTCGAGCGCCGCGCAGGCCAGGCACCAGCTGTCACCCGGCTGCCTCGCCCCGCTCCTGCACTTATTGCAAGTGCGGGAAGAGGCTTCCATGAGCTGTGGAAGCTGGTAAGCCCAAACGGCCAAGTACATACGAGTTCAGGCAAAACGTCAAAAATAAGACTGAATTCTCCATTAAAGGCTTTCTATTCTGCATGACAGGTTCCTCTTTTGTGCAACTTTAGAAGGGTCATCGGTCATCATTTAGGAAATCTGTGTAAATATGATGGCTTCATTCTAAATGATGAACAATCGCCCCTCGCCCCTGAGCCTTAAATATTGCCTTTTATCCTACATCTGTTTGATTTTTCAACTGTTAAGCTTGCGCCGTGACAATAAGTATCTTGGAGTGACACATTTTAGGAACAGTCCTAGTTCAGTAAGACACTGCTGGACGCAGTACATTGCAAAGCTGTCCCTTCAACATACTTGAACATGAACTAACAACAATCCAGCAAAAAGTTACAATGTCTGGGAGAAATTGAACCGCATATAGTTCGAAGGGGGCGAATAATGCTGAGGAGAGAGGAAGAGTACAAAAGATTATGACATTGCGAATCACTTCCATCAGCATAAGAAGCCATATGAGAAGAACAGCATAAACATCATAAACGACACTAATACCATTGCAAACACCAAAGTGCTTTAGACAAACATTAGAAAGCTATTAATTAAGTAAATTGTCAGGATAGAGGCGATTCAACCCTGTTAGGGACCAGAAAGCTAGACAAGAAAGGTAAAGGCTACTTGGCTCAAAGAATACGCCCTTGAGAATGAGGACAGAACAGCTGCGAAGGAGGGAATGCATATCTAAACTGTAAACAAATAAGAAGGACTGAAGAACTAAATGAAAAACACGTGCCAGAAATGTTTCAGGCATTTTGTCACAATTCAAAACACAAGCCCTATGGCGGCCAACTCCCCTGTCGGGGGAGATTTCTGCAGCGCCTGGATCAAAGGCCGGATGATTGGCTGAAGCTGTCGACAAGATGGCCTTAGATTCGTGTTTTGCAAGTATTCGGTGGATCCACTAGCCACAAAATTCCGAGGAAAGGGCCACTAGGGTGGTTTTCCAGTGGACCACCAGCAGCATACTTGCCAGTGCTCATTTTGGTGGCTTGATGCGCGCCGTTTCACAGAAAACGAAACAAGCTATGCACAAACATATGCAATAACGCCTGGAGTATCTTTTCTTGTGGGCGTCGCTCTTATTTCTCAAGGACAACCCAGACTAACTACGTCCGTGCATTGATGAAACGCTCATTGGTAAAGTCGTCGACGTTGATGCTGAAGTTGACTCATATCTGCTGTCTATACCCTACAAGTAGTAGCAGGCCCACGTTAGCGCAGCCAAATTCTGCCAAGCTTCCCAAGCAGTCACCCAGAAGCCCCACTTGGATTTGCACAAATGCCTTACACAGAAGGGGTTGATAGCAAACGCATCAAATAGCAACACCTAGCAGCCTAGCAGTTACATGACACTAGCGCCAAATTCGGATGGTTTTAATTCATTACGGACGACGTCCGATTGAATCTAAGCTTATCCGCATTTTGGGAACACGGAATGGATTGATGCTCAATGCTCCGGTTCTCTTTTTCTATATTATTCTAAATAATGCATGCCCGGCAGCATTCCACAATGCTGGACTGAGCATTGTCTTGGAATGCTTTATAGTGCGCTTTTTTAATATGAATCCACTACCACTCCTGGTTTGAAACAATATCGCTGCACAAATCATTCAGTTACTTTCGTACATACATATATATATATACACTGTAGACTGTATGATGTTTCTGGAGACGACATGGACGGCATCCAGGGCTTTGAAAACCCGGTGCAGCACAGCAAATCAAGGGCAAACCACCTTGCCTAGCTGCTTCCAGGCCAAAAGGGCCAAACCAGCATAACAAGAAAAGGAGCACAGAAAAAGTACGGTAATGTTTCTGGACTATTTTGGATCCCAATTCAACTATTGGCTGAGGCTCAGTTGCTTGGATCTCTGCTCTGCAGTCGACATCGAGCGGCTTAAGAAAGCAATTGATGCAACAAATTCTGCAAAGGATTGCAAAAGCCTGTATTGAACGCACCGGCCTATCTCTAAGGAGGTTATGTGTGTGTGTGTCTTGTCATGTCTTCTGTCTTCATGCAAGCCAGTTCTTTGCCGGCTTGCCTAGGGCCTAGGCCATGGCTTTTGGTGGCATATGCAGTAGATCAGTAGATGGCATCGAAAGGAAGCCAACTTGCCACAGTTGTCACCACAGTTGCATGCACAGCATGCCAAACTATGGCAAGAACGCATCTTCGCAAGGGCCGTCACCTCGGAGATGCCAAGGGCCCCCCGAAAATGCGATCCACCCCGCAAGGCGCGCACGAGCCAGCAATCTGCACGCTCAGGGTCAGTCAAGTCGGCATTGCTTTGCAAGGCAGCCTTGAAGAGCTTCCAACCCAATAATTCTCTTTTAAACCTTCGACATCCAGGACCTCCTTGACCTTCTATCAAAGGGCCCCAGGCCCTAGTTCACAAAGATCCTCAAAGATCCATGGGCCAATGGGTCCGACATGAGGTAACCGTGAGACAGTGAGCAGTTTCTCGTGCCTGACTATCAGCGATGGCATCTTGAAGCTGACCAAGGTCCAATCGAGCACGGCTGCGTCTCCACAGGAGGCGGGCCTCAGCCCCACAGGCGAAGATTTCTGGTACTTTGTCGGCAAGCGGCGAGCGGATTTCATTGGCAGTAAAAATGCTTGGTTTAGTTGGGTTGGATCTGGACTTGCTGAGGTGATCGGGCGCTTTCTGGCTCTTGATTCAAGAAAGCGTCGTAGTCTGCCGCCTCAGTTGACTCAAGCCTCAAACGGGGTCGTCCAAGCTGAACGGCCGCCTGAAATCGCTTGGGCACCGGCTGCCTTTACAGAATCCCCTGTTTTGAAGTATGCCTCTCCTTGACAGAGTGGAGCCGCTGCTTTGTTTGGGGTAGGACGGGTAGGACAACTTTCCAACCTTATCGAAAATTACAACCCTTGTGTCTGTATGTGTCTGTAAGAAGTGAAAGCTCAACCGCTCCTCGCACTGCGTAAGCTCTCACAATGCGACAATCCAACCTCAGGGAGAGCGCTGTGTCAGCCACGATCCAAAGGCAAAAACACAAATTGTGCGCCAGCCTTTGCCTGTTTGAAGTGTGGCGCATGTGAGCAAGACTGCCATTATATACACTTACACTTACACCTCACTGGTGCCTTCTCTCGTTTGCAGCAAAATATTGAAATAAGTCAGTGGAGGGCAAACCTGTGAAGTGTGCTGTCCCTGACAAGTTTTTTCTAAGCTGCTCTGATGCGTATTCACCGCCCGTCTAGCTCAAAGGGAATCGACTTCTTTGAGTTGACCCTCATTGACCAGGAATCAACTGACCTTCTTGACGCTTCTTCTCTTCCAAGACGAAGTTCCCAAACCACACACGGTATACAAACCAGCCATAGGTTACAAAGACCAAGCAAATGGCCGTGGAGACGCTTGCTGCCATCCCAAAAGACAAGGAAAAGGAGAGCAAGCAGGCTGTCAAAATGCCACCGCAACAGGCCGTTTGAGCCAAATATGCAGGAACGGTCGTCCACATCAGCTTGTTCCGGCTGGGATTCACACGGTAGATGTAGCCGTATGCTATGCGCGCCAGCACCCAAATGACACCACAAGCACCAGCAAATGTTGGGTCAAGAGTGAGTGCGCAAGCCCACTGTGCCAGAAAGAATGCCCATGCTTGCTCAACTTGATTTTGTTGCGCTCTTAATGCGCGAATGAACGGCTCCAAATGCTTGGCATCATGTGTTTCTGTTGTGAAAGGGTACTTCAGTTGATACGGTGTCCGCGCAGCGCCCACCGCAAAGGTGTCCACACAAACATAATGCAAAACAAAGATGGCCGTAACCGCGGAGGGAAGTTCAAATCCTTCCAAAGCCATGTAGGGTGAAGGCCCTCTAGAAAACAGGGACGAAACCAGAATTGAATTGTTTGAAGCTTGAACCAACGTGTCCCGCTTGAGACTTTAGCTTCTGACAAAACGGATCCAAACGAACTCAGAATGAACTTCATACTTGAACAAGTACTCACTGGCCAGGGCTCAAGCTCCAGTGTGGCTGAAGCATCTTCAATCGCACCCTCCAAACATGCAAGCAAGAACCAAATTAAATAAACTGCCTTTTGGAGGGGTGTCCTGGCACGAAACTGGCAACCGGCACTGCAACCGGCTACCCCTGGAACAAGGCGCAGTGTGAGCGCAAATTTGGAAAGTGATCAAGGCCTGAAAGTCTCCATGCTCCAGTTTGCCTTGAGCTCGATGTAGCCATATCACCGGCCACCGTGGCTCCACCTCTGCAATACTTTGTGTCAGCGTCAGTAAGGGGCGGTGCTAAGTAGACGACCTCAAGAGCGGCGTTGAAGGCGGCAAGGGCTCCTGGAGTTTGCGGAAAGGCGGTTGCTCTCAAAATCTGCTAGGAGAAACTCAAAGAAGAATATATATATATAAATGCAGCGCTCATTTCTTTTGTTCCACTTCGCAGCGAGTTTGTCATAAATAGAA